CCTAGACCCTTCTTCAGAAAATGAAGAAGGGTCTAGGCCCGAAACGCCAGCCTTCCTGCTCCTCTGATGCTGCTTGGCCTGCTGTGTTCATCCAGCTCTGCACTTTACTAAATGTAGCGCTTGTTTTTAAAAAAAAAAGGTACAAGCTCTATCATGAATCTCTAATCAAAGACAAGAGTAACTAATCCAAAGCTGTTTTCTTTAAGCGTGTGAATTTACCCTGGCGTCTGCAGTTTGTGCTGCTTCCCGGATCTTGGCCACCCAATCGTTCATATCTTCCTGTGTTTCTGCTGCCAGGTCCATTGTCTGACCGGCACGGTTGAATGAGCTCACGTTTATTTTAAAAACATATGGACGACTGCCTTTTCCATCTGGATGAATGGCTGAAATGAGACAAGAAGAGTGAACAAAATAAAATACAGTTCGTCCAATGGCATGGCTAAGCTGCAAAGTGCTATAGGCCAAAGACAGTCAACTACAGAATCAACTCCAACTACCCCCAACAACAAATTGGGAATTCAAAAAAACATTCTAGAGGTTGGTGCATATGTTAACCCCTGATTCTGGAGGGATTGTTTGAGATTTCAAAAGTCGTGTGGTAAAAGTGAACTGTTGGCATGCTGTGTGCGGTTGCCATTTTTGTCATTTGCCACGTAAGGTCTGCTCTTTTGTGCAAGTGAGTCATAAACTCCAATACAGCTTTGCAACATGATGTGTCGCCAGCCTTGTCCCTTGTGCTCTGTCAGAAGTGAAACATCCGTTTGTGGGGTGAAATATTGAGGCTGACTGCTAATGTAGTATGTTGTGGCTGTGTGGAGTTTGCACATTCTCCCCGTGTCTGCATGGGTTTCCTCTGGATTCTCCGGTTTCCTCCCACAGTCCAAAGATGTGCAGGCTAGGTGGATTGGCCATGCTAAATTGCCCATAGTGTTCAGGGATGTGTAGATTAGGTGGGTTATAGGGGGATGGGTCTGGGTGGGATGCTCTGAGGGTCGGTGTGGACTTGTTGGGCCGAAGGGCCAGTTTCCACACTGTAGGGACTTTATGATTCTTTTCTATGAAAAGTAGGGATGAACCTATCCATTCAGTGTAGACAAATATGTGATTTTCGGGGCCGGTAAAATAGGATCATCATATACACCAAGTTGACTTTTATGTCTAGATTTATCTATTTGGTTCCAATCAATGTGGCAACTTGTTTTAGTCTTCAAAATAATGGTCTTGTGGCAAAATCAACAATAACAACCTGTACTTATGTAGCACCTTATGCAATAAAACATAATACCACAATAAATAAATGCAGTAGCAGACAATAAGGTATCTCAAGTTTTCCCCATGCTATTCTATAGGATGACGGCCAATCTCCTGTCCCAACCGCATTCTCCTTCCAACTCCCCGTATCCCCTAATTTCCTGAGAAACCAGAAAAAAAGTGTTCATTTCAGACCTAACTATACTTAAGGATAGTGAATTCATAACTCTCTATGTTGTCAATTCCAAAGACTTACAATCCTATGAAGGAAGACATTTTTCCCTTATCTCAGTCGTAAATGATCAGCTCCTTCTAGAGCTGTCTAACAACAAACACCATGTCAATAGTTGTTCGACTTTTTCTGAAATCACACCGAATCTCTTGCAGCAGATGAGCTAAGATGGATAGCAAAGTCAGTTCATGTTATAGAGTTGAAAACAGGGGATTGTATAGAGAATGCAGATTTGTGGTTGAAAGCTCATCTCAAGATCAAATATCAGTGTCAAATGGACAGAGGTGATGGTGCCAGTGGGTAGTGAGCAGTTTGTGGTGGAAAGCGAAGACAATGGCATCAATCTTCCTGAAACTTAATTGCCAATGGTTTCTGCTTATCCACTATAGGATGTCAAATAAACAATGCGTTAATCTAGAGACAGGAAAGGGAACAAAAAAAGTGGTGGTGAGATAGAGTTGGGTGTTGTCATTGTATGTGTGGAAGCTGCTGTGCTTCTAGATCATGTCTCCGAGGGGCAGTTGTCAATGAGAAACATGGGTGATGTCAAAGATAGATCCTTTCGAGACACCAAAGTTAATGATGTAGGAATGAGAAGAGAAGCTGTTTGTGACAATTCTCTGGCTCTGATTAGATAGGTGAGAGAATGCAACGAAGCAAGATGAGTCCCATCCAACTAGACGATTCTGGAGAATGGTGTGATGGGTTAAGAAGAATGAGGAGGGACTGTTTACTTGTATCATAGTCACCCAGAACAAAGTCAAAGCTGAATGCAGACAGTGAGTGAATATATTTTGTCTCTCTCTCTCTCTTTCGTTCCAAAGATTCTTAAGTTTGTAATATCTCTGTTCCAAATGTGAAGGGAGCACAAATCTTCTTGACATGAGGTTAACTGCTCATCCTCCATTCACTTACCTCAAATTGTCAGGCAGCCATTCTACTGAGAGGCTGAAGAGGTGGCCACTTGTCAATGCCATCGCACGCAGCTGCCATAGTTATAACAGTGGCCTTTTGAATATCTCCACTGCCCTTAATCGAAGCGTATAGTTCAGGTCTTCTCATGAACAGTAACTGTGCCCTGTCAGTCCATGTCCCTCCACCATACTGAAATGCCTGTCTTTTGGGTTTAAGTTAGTAGTTACATTTCATCTATTAACCTAGGTTATATTGCTGCTTGTGGGAACTTGCTGTGGGCAAATTGGCTGTCAAGTTGCCTAAATTATAAGTGACCACACTTCAGAAACACTGAATCAACTATCTTTGGCATCACCCATGTTTCTCATTGACATCTGCCCCTCAGACACATGATCTAGAAGCACAGCAGTTTTGGATGCCTGGAGATCATGACTGGCACTAGAAATGCAAGTCTTTCTTCCTTTGTTTTATACACTAAAATGGCTCCCATTCCTGTAAGAAACTGCTTGATTTCCACTCAGGTTCAAAGGCAGGACTGATTATTTTGATGGAACTAGAGATATCTACTGTGGAGACATTCCCATTTCTCTTCACACCAGTAAAATGGCCCTTCAGATTGGTTCCAGTTACAGTTAGTGACACTGGCTGAAGGAGGTTAGTTGTGATTTTACCAGACTCAGTGGCAGTACTCACCAATCTGACAGGAAGGCACATCCAGAGATCCTCCCAGTAAATCCCCGAGAGGGCTGTTTTCATTAAGGGGCTGCAAGCGGAGGGAAGAAGAGGAAGAATAAGTACCACACTAGTCAACTCATCTGTTAAAGTTCAACACTTCAAACATGCCTTTTCTCCCATTGTAGAGATCCCTATGGCATCAAATTAAAACTTCAGGAAAGAAAGAGATTCCTTATTTAAACCCTTCCCATGTGAAATGCACTTTCTAGCTTTGTTTTTTACTTTTCAAAAATTCATTCAT